TATATATATATTCCCAACACTAAATTAAATTAAACTAAAAAGAACGCTGGACAAAAGGCAGAATACAAAATCACATTAAAAAAGATTAGAACTTTCATATACCATCTACTGTCAACAATTTTTGTTTGGTTGCTGCGACTTTGTCTCTTCCTCAAGCAGCTTATTAACGAAATCTGTCTTTGGTGGAACAAAGATTTCGACTTTAACCTGACCCTAGACTGCCAAACTGGAAGAGATTATAGATTATACTGAACAATTTTAATTTTTTAAAATTTATTTTATTTTAACCTAACCCTAGCCACCATCATTACCCCTCAACAGGCGCAATTCGATCAAATTTAATGGGCCTCGCACCTAATTCATTTAATTTGTATAGGGCTGAAGGGTCCAATTCAGTTGACCTTTGCCGCCTTTGGGGCCCAACTGAGTTGGCTACGAGGCTGAACATATCCTTTGATTGTTTGACTTTTTTTCACCATCAGGCTCAATTTCCTTGACTTTAACCAGCCTGATTGCCTAATTCATTTGATCTACGTTAGGCCTTATTGTGCTCTAAGACCCAATTTAGTAGACATTTTTGGGCCACCAGAACATATCCTTTGACTCTGACTGTTGACCAGCTGAACAAATTCGTTGACTTTTGGACCAATTGACCCAATTTTCTGGACTAATGGGCCTAACTGACTAGTTCATTTGATCTATATTCGGCCGAGAGCAATTACACTAAGTCTTCATCGAATTGACTGTTTTGGCAATTCAGTTGCCTTTTTGGACCAGCAAAACATATTCGTTGACTTTTTAATTTTTATGTGGACATTGTGCCTGAAGACTATTTCTCTGGCTTTTGGGCCAGAAGGCCCAGCACCTTAGAGTTTTGGGCCAACATTACTTTGTTTAGTTGGAGTTGACCGGCCCAATCTCGCTCATTTTTTAGGACTGTCAAACTAATGAAGCTGATTTCAACCGATGTCGTTTGTGTTGACATTTTTTGGGCTAAGAAACAAAATTTCTTGACTTTTTTGGGCCATTGGCCCGCACCTAAAACCTGTTGCCATTTTTGGACAAACCGGCCGAATTACCCAGACAGGCATTTACATTGGCTTTGACCGTCTTTACGTTGACCATTTTTGGGACGACCAAGCAACTCCGTTAATTGATCGTCACCATTCCTTTTCTGTTCGGGCAGCGGTGAGGCAGTTTTCCCAAGGTCCATATTTTGAGCTGAAGCTTCCTCCTCCATGCTGCTCCGCATATTCGCAGATAACTGCCCGGGCACATTTACCCCAAGCCCTAGCTATCTCTAAAAGTGACATGGGTTGTGGGAACCTTCGAAGAGACCTGTTGAGCTTTGATTGCACCCTCACAGAAAGATCTCCATGCTCTTCGCTGTCCATCCATCAAAATAATTCACAATTTGGTAAAACAATTAAAATGATTCTAGAATGTATGATATTTTGGATTATTAAATGGTTAACAAGACAACGTTATGGTTATAACCCTGTATATAGAATTGCAAGCCGTAACATTATATGTTAAATAGATACAAACCAACTTTTATTATGCAAAAATTTTGGTTACATGATCCAAAAGACATCCTTCTTCAACCTTTTCCTCCCTTGTTAGGGTAAGATGATGAATATGTGATTTTAGAAATTATGAATAACACCTGTCAATCCTCATCTCATAGACAACCTCTAATCTAGTAAAGTTGAGACTAAGGCCTTCAGACCTTAGTGAGCATACAAATTAGTTTCAATAGTTTTTCATGTGTTTAGCAATAAATGTATATGGATTCATCGGACAACCAAGCATATAGAGTTTCTCTTCTTCAATTTGGTCTCATGGTAAGCCTAACTTAGTTACAATATGATTTCTATAAGACTGTTGTATACACAGGAAAAAAGACAGTTTAATCCACTCACCTCATTTCTTCTAGTATCTTGTCTAGGAGTATAGGAGAGCAAGCTGGATAATTTGCAGGAACAAGCAATCGTAATGGCTTGATCAGAGTCTGTTAGACAATAAAACATGAGGTCAAATAGGAAATTAAGCAAAATGGATTAATTTTGTGCTTTATATGCAATCTAAGTTTCTGAGCACACCATTAGAATTGAAGTCTCCATTGATTTTAGGTGTGGACTGATCGCCACAGCACTGAAGGAGCACCTGACGACGGTCCCTTCATTAAATTCAGTGGTCCCTTCATTAAATTCAGTGGCCGCTGCAGTTTCAATTAAACTGGTATCTTCATCGGTGATATCAACCACAGTGTCAATTAGGCGTTGGTTTATCTCCCTTATTTCTTTGTTTAACATATGATTGGCCTGCAAATTTTGAAACCAAAATTTGAACTGGAAAGCTATAGAGATATGCTAAGAGTCTAAGCTAAATAAGCTATCATAAGGTGGAAGTAAATTTCCTAATTGCTCATGCAGCTACCATTTGGTAACAGCAAGCAATACAACTGCAAGACTTCTCTTAGATTCAACAAATTAATATCATGGACTAACAACCATTTGAAGTTCATCTAAATGAAAACATGATTAAAAAAATCAAGCAGCAAATCTCAGTTTCATCCAAAAACTTATATTAGCATACCTCTATCCGTGGCCTTTTGATGCAATTGATAGCACCTGATTCCAACTCAGATTTATCTATACCATTTATTTGTCCGAATTCATTAATTCTAATACAGCTGCCAGCAAGTGAATCAGTGCTCAATGACAATGCATCAATCTTACGCTTGATAGTCCATGTCTTCGCATTGTAGATACATGACCTGGCCATAACTGCAGAATCTTGACCAACTTTGCATTTTGACGGAGTAATTGGTACTGAATCGGACATCTTATCAGTTACACTGGCTATTTCCTGAATATCGTGAACAGACGCACTTAATCCTTTATCTGATATGGAATTAACCTGAAATTTGACATACAGAATATATCAATAGGCAGACAAAAGTTTTAAATAGAAAATTATTCCTCATGCCACAATAAGAGGAAAAAAAACGAAATTTGGATTAATTTTGGACTAACCAATCGAATCAAGTGTTGAAGAGGCTGCTCAGCAACGTTTAAGTTGTCAGTAGTCATTAATGAAGCATCGGGGCAATTTTCAGCTACGTGGCTACATTCTGTAAGCAAGGGTGAGGGTGATACCCCAGGAGAGCTAGCTTCACATGGTGAGGCAGTTTCTAGACTATTGATTTTTTGTTTACATTCCACACTACCAGCATTCATGAATGAAACATCATGAATGGATTTCCTGGAATCACCTAGCAAAGGGGACAAAGGCTTCAGACTACAAGAAGCAAAACTAGGAGAGTTAGCAGAACCGAAGGAAATTCCAATTCTTGCTGGATTATTTATCTCAGTTAATTGAGAAGCATGGTTGGGTATTTGAGACAATGCAGGCTGGTACACTTTTTGTGAAGCAATAGATGATGAAACTCCAGACTTTAAATGCTGATAGTGAAATTCTGACCGCTGGCTTTCTATGCGATCGTGCAGAAATGGCCCAGCACCCATCGACTGTCTAATTTTTGGCTCCTTTACTTCATTTGTTTGATGGTGAGGAATCTTACTGCAAATTCCTGAACTCTCTTTCATATCATTCACCTCGGCCATGTTACGTTGTGGCATTGCAAACACCTCTGCATGCTGCGGATGCAGTACTTGTCTTTTGTATTGCATATGCTGGATATGTGGAGACTGAGATTGTGGTTGCAATGATTGCTGCACAGAATGCACATTAGGAGAAAGTTGCACTTGGGTAAGTGAATTCATTAAAGTACTGTATGAGCTATAAATGCATTCTATATTCTTCTCAAGGGAATTTAAGATCTGCACGTATTCAGGTGTAATGTTGCTTGGAACATTCAGTGCGAATTGAGCTTTCTCAATGATCTGCATTAGTGCAGAACCCTTATCCAATTGGCGTGTTGGTCGTCCAACATGGGCGAGCTGTTAAAAAAATAAAAAGAAAAAGAAAGAAACGCACCTAATTATACGAGCATATATAACACAAGGAAAAATAATAATTTTTTTTTTTTTTTTAAAAGAATGAAGATGTTATCCATCAAATCTTTCATTGAATGCTTTATTCAATGATGTTACAGAAGCAAGCATGTAAGCTTCCTTACGTACCTCACACAGTATAGGGTCCAACCTTCTGCTCAGTTCCGTCAATATTGGTAAATACTTTCTCCTAAGACTTGTGGCCTGCAAAGTTGAATCATCATTGAAACAATAATGGAAGTCTATAAACTCAAAATGGTCAAATAAAAACATTTTTACAGCTTATCTCAAGCAATAGTTGTGTCAACGCCAAAGTAAACAAGTTTGGATATATATTAATAAAAAGAATATAACACTGAAGAAAAAAAATTAATTGCACAAACAGGGGCGCAGACAAGCACACATACATATGGGGGCAGTAGGGCAAGAGAGGGGTATTAGGAAAGTATATATAAAAGAACTTAACAGTAAAGATCCATCGTGCACAAGATCTAGGAATTTTGATGCATTATGTGCGGTAGTTGACTCATATGCAGTAAATATTCAATTCAATCATGAAAAAATGTTATCATGCAACCTGCCTATGTAATGACAATATAAAGACTATGACATCTTACCTTCTGATAGACCAACTCTTTCAAATTGTTTCCAATGATCTGCCTTCCCTCGTCTACTTGATATAGTGGTCCTATGAACCAAAAACACAGTAAGCATCAATCAACACCACTTTTCTTAACAAGTAAATAGAAATTGTTGAAGAGAGAATTGCTAATGTATTATGGATCTCACATTAAGTTCCATAAAGACTTAGAAGAAATAAACAAATTTAAAAGAAATAACCATTGTAATACAACATTAATAAGAAATCGCAAATCATCATCCAACTATCTTCTCCAGAAGGAATATAAAAGATCAAAACAATTCTAAATATTATAATAGCAGAATGAAATATCCAAGTACAAGAAAGCCGATAGAAACATTAAAAAATGCATAAAAGTTATTCACTACACAAAAATGCAGCTGAACTGGCTTTCTTTTCCAGTTCAAGCTATCCATTATGTTGTTGCTGAATAATATGAATTCTCTGAAGGAAGGTACCTGATCTCAGAAATTTCAGTTGTGTATCTTCTAATGATGGACTTGACAGATGTTGTAGTTTGGTTAACTGTGATTGAGATTGAGACATTGATACATGCTCTGGTGGCTGTAGTTGTGATTGTGGCAATTGAGTAACCAAAGAACCTGAAGAAGTTTGCCACTTTTGCCCCAGCCCCAGAAACACATTCTGGTTGGAAGAACTACGCCATCCCATTCCAAGTGATTTCTGGTACTCTTGTAGTCCAGAAACATTACTTCTTTGGCACAACTGCTGGGGCAACGTGCTAGAATGATTGCTTGGATTTCCCTGAGAGTGCTGCTGGAAGTTTTGGCACATGTCATTCTGGTTCAGAAATCTCTTCTGCTTCTCTAAGTCAGCTGCATTGCTTTGTTTCCCTGGTAGTTGATTATCTTGTCTGTCAATAGAATCTGGTTTGCAGCCTAGTAATTGTTGTTGATGTTCCAATGGCAAGAACCATTGAGCCGCCTTAAGTGTTGGATTTATGAATGTTTGTTGTGATTGCTGAAAGACTTTGTGTGGAGAAACACTCAGTGCAGTCTGCTGATAATTCTTTGGATTTAGATATTGATCTTGGTTCTGTTGGGGAATAACTTGCTGCGAATAAAGCCTTCCTTGTACTGGCCTCTGATAATTGGCAGAAGTAAGTACAGGAACTCTTGAACCCAATGCAACTCTTCTAGATTCAAGGGAATTAGTCTGGATACTCTGCAAACCGGAACTAATTTCCGCAAAACCATTAGGCTTGAGAACTTCATTTAAGTTACCAACTTCGAATATGCATTCCTTAGAAGATGGCGGATTTTTCTTTGGGGTATCCATTCTCAATTTCTCCACTAGAAGATAGAAGAATTAACATTGGAATTAACCACCAAAACCAATATAAATCATTCCGATTTTTTTTTTTTTTAAAATATTGAACTAAAGTCCCATCAGCCACTAACATGTTCATCTCTAGATGACCAAAAATTTAATAGAAATTACTAAGACCAGCACTACTCGCGGAATGCATGTTAATCAAGTTCAATCGAAATGTAACAAAAATAGTTTTATGATCCCCTAAACATCTTAGAACCGTAGAAAAACATCAGCTGATATAAGTAACGGCTACCTTTATCGTTTTCCTTCATCTATGAGTCTGTTTCTTATGATCCATTCCAGAAATTGTCCAAACACACGAAAATCATACAGAAAACTCAAAAACTCATAAAAACTATAAAATAAAAATTAGATCTCCATTTTCAGTGTTCGAAAATACAGTCTATGGTACAAAAATAGATTAGAACCTAGGAAAAAAAACCGTCATTAAGATCATTAAACAATGAATTTCATTATTTTTCTTCCAAATGATGAAGTATGATTTCATTTCTTGCGATCTTTTTATTCTCAAGAACAGCCAAACACACAAATATACACAGAAAACATACAAAAATCTTAAAAACACCAAGATCAAGAGCACATTTATGACAGGCAAATGGAAAACAAAAAGTTCAAGAGTACCAGAATGAGAATGCCTTGCCGCTGATCGAAATCGCTGAATCGATACTGAGGAGATCGTGCAAACAAAGGAGACTGAGGACAAAGACCGCAGTTTATTCTAGCGAGGGAAAAAGAAATCGCGTTTGGGCCGAGCTTTTCTATATTATGAACGCCAACATCAAGAGCACGTTTATTCAAGGCGAATCAAAAACAGTGTTCATGCGTAGTAGAGTCGCAGGAATAAGAGCAATTTCCGGCGATAGGAATCGTTGAATGGAGGCGATAAGACCGAGAAAGAGCGACCGGGGACGAAGGAGCTCTGCAGTTTTTTCTTGCGAGCGAAGAAATCGTATTTGGGCCGAGTTTAATTTATATGGCGAGCTGAGCCCGACGTATGACTTACGCTACGCGCAAACTCAGACCGTGTTAAATTTGTAAATTGGGCCTTATCTTTTGCTTGGAGGGATTAAGGATGCAATAATAAGGCGCGCGCACATTGCTGACAGGGTGTGGTATTGTTTAACTTATTTTGGCTGATATTATTTATTACCAATTATCAATAATAGTATAATATATTACTTTACTCCATTTTTCTTGTTACACTTATGGGTTATTTGCTATTTTAGGAGTATCTTTTTTTTTTTTTTATCTTGATTATACAATAAAAGGTAATTATTTGTCATCTTTTATCTTACTCTACCTGTATGCTATACGACTTGAATTTAGAACTCCTTACTTCTAGCAAAAAGAGATAACTACTAAGTTACTCAAGTCAAGTCGTTGATAGAGTATCTTTTAAACATAATAATAAAGTGTTCTTTTTTCTTTGAATTACTTATAATTGTTTCTTTTTATTGTAAAAAAGTCACAACTTCTCTCTTTTTTTATTTGAATGATCATAGTATTTTTAGATCAATTTTCGTGTATTTTAAGATTAATCCATTTTTGGATTGTTCCTTACATTGATATAAAAAAATTAATTTCCTTATAAACATCAAATTTCAAACAATGATGATGGTCTTTCTACGAATTTTGTTAATTTTTTTGAAATGGTGATGGTCTTTCAATGAATTTTGTTAATTTCCTCTATAATCGTGTCATGCAAAAGTGTATTAAGTAAAATAAACTTGGAGGTAGTAATCCATAATTAGTGCATGTTTTTTTTTTTAAAAATAATTTGTCAAGGGACGGGCTCAAAACCCACTCATAAGGGAGGAGGAATGCACCTCAAACTGGCAGGCTGCCAGTTGAGCAGAAGGGCCAGGTGTCATAATTAATGCATGTTTATTCTAGCCTTCAAAAAGATATTTTATACTGCAGTTGCAAAAATAATTTTTTCAAAAAATTAGAAATTGAAACTACAAACATGTAGTTTACGGAGTAAAAATTTATTGTTAAGTTTTTGTTCTTTTAATTTGTTAATAATTATTAAATTTTTATAAATTAATATTTCAATACTTTTCTAGTCAAACAAACTTCTATAAAATATGTCAAATAAATTCTTAAGCATGCAAACAGAAAATGATTATGGCCACCATTTTAAAATATTGATTTTGTTTAGTTTAA